GTAGTGGAATTGCTGGGTCAAATGGTATCTCTATTTGCAACTTTTTGAGAAAGCGCCATACCACTTTCCACAGGGGATGCACCATTTTACATTTCCACCAACAGTGAATAAGGGTTCCAGTTTCTCTACAACCTCTCCAGCATTTGTTGCTTGCTGTTCTGTTAAATTTTGCTATTTTGACTGGGGTGAGATGATATCTCATAGTTGTTTTAACCATTTGGGTTTCTTCGAGCTGGTGAGTTTTTGAACCTAGTTCTCATTATGAGGAACGGTCCATGTGGATATGTGAATGGGGATATCACTGTCACCTCTCACTTCACAGGGAGCCACGAATGGTCTTATTAATAAATAAAGGCTTTGCTTGCTTTATGAAATCTGGAGATGATAGAAAAAGTGGAGGAGCAAGAATGCAATGATATAGGTGGATGAAGTCTGTCCATTGGTGCTGGGAAACGTGTCAGGCCCAGCATATTTTATATCCTTTGAGAGGCTACTGTTCTCAGACACTGCTGTGGACTCACGTCTGACCTTTGAGTCCAGGAGTGGGGGTAACTTGTGCCAAATCTCCTGCACATGCCTTTTGAAATTCTTCTTGATATTGGAACATCTTGTTCTTCCTGTGTTGGATTCCACTGAGTTGATTCAAACTTATAGTGATTGTGTGACAGAGAGGACAGCCTCATAGGATTTTCTATGCTGCAAACTTTAAGGGAGCAGAGACTGCCAGGGCTTTGTTCACTAGAGCCACTGGGTAGGTTGGAACTACCAGTTTTTTTGTTATCAGAGAAATAGTTAGCAGACACTATTTCTCCTAGCGATCAAGTTTACAGTCATTTTTTGGCTTCCCAAGATCAAGATAAAGGCCCATAAGGTCACTGTGATCTTCTTCTCACTCTCTTGCGCTATCTGGAGATGTTCTAGTCAACATAGGGAGTAGTTTGCACTCTTGCATTGGTTGATTCTGATGAAGAAAACATTTACTTGTGGAAATAGGGGTCATAATGTCAACTACATAATTATATTTCACAGGTTAGAAGCAAACCCGTTTTGGCAGGATGAAGTAATAGCTTGTGAGAAATAATTTCCTTCTCCAGACCAGACTTCATGTATTGCCAGAATGGACCTTTCAGCAGCTGTTTAAATAATCCCCTGTCTCAGACTCTGGGATGGTGATAGAATTTATAGGAGTATTAGGTGATAAAGTTTAGAGACATGTTAGACAGGACATACCTCATTTTTTTCCTACCCTCATGATGAGATTCTTTCCTTCATTTTCCTCCTCAGGTTCGCTTTCTTTCACCACAAGCTCGCCGTAGATGTCATGCAGCCCTGGCATCTTTTTCTACCTCAATGCTTATCCTGTCCAATCTGGTGTTTCTTGGGGGAAACCAAGTTGCCAAAACCTACTGGAATAGGATCTTCATAGAAGGTAAGGTGCCTGACAATGCAGTTTTAAGTCATTCTTATTGTCTAACTGTAAGCTATAAATTGGTGTTATGGGTGGGATTCATGATTATATTAATGGAATATAGACCACAATAATACTAGGCTAAGAACAATGTATTTTACTGCACTGAGCTCTCACTGTGTCTGCTAGATTAATGGACCTCATCGACCATGGATAATATTTAATTTGAAAATTCCCCACAATTTCCAAAGTTTACATTCCTTTCTTCCAACTTGCCTCTCCAATTTATTTTCATTAATGTTCCCTACTGCCTGGAGATCTCAACCTTCAACATACTGTGGTGCATGGGGTTGACCACCCCCATGTTGGTTGTGTGTTAGACCATTATTATCCATAGAAATTTCATTGGCTGATCTTCAAAAATAGTTTTCTAGCCTGCTTAGTTATAGTTCATCTGATCCTGTATGCCTCTGTTGACAAATGAGTGGCACTTGTGCACTAGATGCATTAGTTTGGAAATGAACCTGTGTCCCAAATTGAATTAAAGAATTTTAACACTGAACCACAAGTAAGTACCTTATGAGAAATGAGTCTCAGAAGTCCCTTTCTGATCTGCAGCTGTGGACAAGGCATGATGTTTTCTGAATGCTGAGTGTAGCATTGGATGTCATGATTATATCAGTAGAATAAGTGGATGACTCAAAAGCACCCCTATAACAGGTAAAATGTTAATATAAGGGAATCTTTGTGAACAATGTCACTAATAACTTATCATCTATTTATTTCCCTTGGACTATGGCTATGAATTGTTTCGTGTCCTTAAACCAACTGGGAGAATTAAAAATACAGTAAGCAATACTTTAGCTATTAGTCTACATTTTAAAAGAAAAGTCCTTTGCTCTGTTTCCTTGGTCAGAGACATGGTTTTGTGCTTTAAATTTGGGTAACTTTTGTCTCATAATGACACATGATTTGTAATGCAAGTGGCATAGGCGCATCTGGGTTCCTGAGGAGCTAGGGATGCTTTTGTTGCAGCTCGTTTGACAGAGGATATGAAACAGATACAGCTTCATGATCCCAGGATGTCAGTTTATGGATCTGAACAGTGACTGGCTGGGTGAGCCTGGCTCAAAGATGCCAAGAGAGAACTCAGTCTTACTTTAATCTTGGCACTATGACCTTTGATCTTAATCTTTGATCTTGCTTTCTGAGCGATGTTTTAGCGGTTAGTTCATGAAAAGAATAAATACGTTTTAAGTGGAAGCTATCCTTTAATAAAGACAGAAGGTAATGGGGTACAGTAGATCTCAAGAGAGGAAATAAAAACTTTCCTAGTTAGTGATCCTCTTTTCTGTATCTTTTTCCTTGGACTCTGTGACTCCTGAAGAAATGCTGGGCTTATTTGTCCTTTTAGAGAAAGCTGTAATTTTTGTCTCAATAAATGACATACCAGATGTTTGCATTTGCACGACATTGCTAGTACAGGGATGCACAAATGAACACACACACGTATACACAGAGACCCAGTTTTTAAATCAATGTGATGACAGATTTAAGTAAATTCTGGGTCGGATGGATGAGCAAATTGGAAGGGATCAGCAGGTGGAGAGCAGACTTTTTCCTGGAAGCCAGGCTCCATAGTTGTTGTCCGTAAGTACTGCTGAGTGACTACAACGCAGAGTGACCCTGTGGACGACAGATCTGAAACTCGCCCTGTCCCGTCTCTGCCTCACAATCTTTGCCGGGCTGGAGCCAACTCTTGCAGTCCCTGTGACAGTACATCTCCTCGAGGGTCATCCTCTCTTTTGCTGACCAGCATGATGGTGTCTTTCCAAGCTCTAGCCTCTCCTAACAACATACCCAAGTATGGGAAATGACATTTTACCATCCTTTCCTCCAAAAGAAACCCTGAGAATCAATGCTTTTGGCCGGGAAGCTTATATAGAATGGGGAAGGGGAGGATGATAGGAAGCACAAGATGGCTGAGACAGAGCTTGTTGGAGTATTTCAGTGAGAATTAAAAGCAATAGCTATAGGGTATTCTTCTTACTGCTTCTCAAAGGCAGTAAGACCAGAGCACACCTGTGCTGACCTTGTAGAGCTAAGACTACACATGTGGGAATTCTGATTTCCTCAGTACTTTAGGTTACAGCAGCCCCAGGAGAAAGCTGACTAAAGCAACTTTCCTGAAGCTCTGAGGCTAATCAGAACCACAGAATGGTCCAGCACTTTTGCTTCTTTTGTTTTGTTTTTTGTTGTTGGCTTGGTTTTGATTTTTTGTTGTTGTTGTTGGGG